CTACCAGCGGGGTTTATAGCGACTGTTATGTAAACGTTTCACTTTTTCAGCAAACATTCGTTTGCTAAAAGCACTGTTGCAGGCATTAGGGATATGATGAAAAGCAGTGTGGTCGAGATCCTACGTTATCTATTTATTTATTTGTGCCAGGGATGTCTGTTTTTGTTTTTGTTTACCAAGACGGGGTTTCTCTGTGTAGCTCTGGTTGTCCTGGAACTCACTATGTAGAACAGTCTGGCCTTGAACTCAGAGATCCACCTGCTGGGATTAAAGGCCCACGCCCCACACGCGACCCCCTAAATTGTTACTGTGAAGTTGAAAAATCCTCATCCCAAGGGGCTGCAGTGAGGACAAATGAGACATCCCTGGGGCTTTACCCAATTTCTTGCTGGCTTTTGCCTGAGGCCTGAGAGGTCTGACGCACAGCAAATGCTCAATAAATGTTTGTCCAAAACCAGGCCGCTTCGGCACCTGCCGCTTCTCTGATATTCCTGTCTGGCTAGGAGCAAGCCTGGTTTTATGCCAGTGTTGAGGATGCAGGACAAACTTTACCCTTGAGCCAGTTACACAGGTAAATGAGAGAAGCGCTTAGCTGACTTGTGCTGCAGAAGCCATTGCCCTGTTGTGGGAGTCCCAGAGTGGCCGAAGGCTTTGTCAAGGTCACCTACTGGTGGTCGCTGAGCTCGGAGAGTAGTCAGTGGTTTCTAACTCCCTGTGCTTCTGCCACATTCAGAAGAGAAACTGTGCAAAAGGCTTTCGACAGTGTGCATGCTTTAGGGAGGAGAAGCGTGTTTCAAACGGGTCCCTGAACAACGGATTTGTTTTAGCAAGTTAGAAACAACATCTGCAAAACCTTTCTGTTTGCCTACTTTTCGTTTTTATTCTCTAACAGTTTTGATATAACACATGTACGATAAAACATTTAAATTCCGATTTCCCGTTCAGCTTTCCATTTCTCTCCCCACCCCCATCTGAGAATTAACAAGCAGAAGTTTAGTTTCTATACGGAACATTTTGCAGGCCCTAAGACAGGAGTGTGGTCTTGTGATTGCTGAGGGACAGTGGTCTCTATTCTAGAATTCTCTAGTTGTTGGTCTGCCGGGGGGTGGGGTGCAGAAGCAAAACGTGGTCAGACAGGCAAGAAGGACTCAACACTTTCCAGAAGCCGCCAATGGATAATGGATGTCCAGAGACCAAAGGAAAGATAAACAAGGGAGGAAAGACCCTGGGATGAGAGAGGCAAGGAGAAATGGGATTCAAAGCTTGTGGGTGAAGGCTGGGGAGATGCGCAGGGCAGTGGGCGTGCAGAACAGCCAACCCAGATTATAGCAGGAAGCTCTGGAAGGGAGCCTCCTCCAACTGGGAACAACAAACGAAACAAAATAATACAACTGCTCTCTGATCATGCGTTTGACTGCTTTAAAAAGGAATTCAACAGTCCAATCAAATCAGTGACTCTCGTGTAGAAAACTAAGCAAAGAAACACAGGACAACACAAAAAGTTCTACCAGAGAGAAATAAATAGCTGGAGGTGCGCTCATTTAGTAATTTGTTTAGCCCGCATGAAGCCCTGGGCATAGCCCAGCCCCCAGAACAACACAGCCTAGGCAGTGAGTGCCTGTATTCCCAGGGAACCACTGGGGGATGGAAACAGGAGTTAAGTGCCATTCTCAGCTGTGAGGCTAGCCTGCGTTATATGTTACTCTCAAAAAAGCGAACAAGTAAAAATTCAGAATGTGGTCTATTTAAAATGCTGCATATAAAGACACACTCCACCCCCTTAAGAAAACTTAATATTTGGTACCATTTTGCCTAATGGCGTCTGAGTTTCGTGGGTCTCGGGTTCCCCCTAGCGTTCATCATTAGTCACTGCGCCTGACGGTGTTCAAGCCTTGGGGATGCTTAGTGCTGCCCCCCAACCTGCAACCCCCACCAGGTTCCGACCAGGCCCTTGGGAAAGTATGCTCGAAATCCCAGTTTCTGCTAAGGTTCGCCTGGCTGCGGCTTTCTGGAGAGCACGACGTGGTGGGGGAAGATGATTTATGGTATAAACCTGGAGATGAAGCAGGGACTGTGAAGCAGATTGCAAACAGGGGCGTAGGGAAGCCTGCCCGCAGTGACATTAGGAGTCTTGCTAAAGTCTGGGGTGTCGGGAAGCGCAAAAGTCACGTGGCCTCAAACTCACCTGCACCACCGTGAACACCTGATCCCCTCCCTTCCACACTCTCTGCCTCTACTTCCCAAAAGCCGGGGTTTTATACCTGCTAGCGCTGCCTCGCCCAGCTATTTACCGGCTTGCTGAGACAGGTTCTGTCCGGAACTTACGTCGAACCTCCTGTCTCTGCCTCACGAGCGAGCCACCTCTCTGAGTTTGGTTTTAGAGGAATCTGTAAAGTGACTTATTCTGGACACAGGGTTACCAGGCACAAAATAGTTACTATTTTAGTCTAAGTCCGCGTTCTTGCCCGAATTTACACTAAAATGCTGGGGTGGTGGCTCAGTCTTCTGTTTGTTTTATTTTGTATTTGAGAAAAGCTTATATCCTATTCACTCCATGTATTACTGTACTTAGGAATGATTTATAATGGCATTTTCGAGCCAGACGGAAGGGCGCGTGCCTGTAATCTCAGTATTTGGAAAGCTGAGGCGGGAGAATTGCCGCAAGTTGAAAGTAAGAAGTTAGATGTGAATATCAGACCCTTTTGGGATGAAGTTGAATATCTTTCTAGCCATCGGCTGTCAGAAACTCAGTGAAGGGGACAATGAGTACAAGCTTCGTACAGCCGCTAGGGGAAACGAGGAGTCTTTTGAATACGCTAAACGTTTGGACAAGAGAACGAAGAAAGCCGAAGAAAAACGCCTGAATGCTGGGGAATTCGGTGGTTCTTTGCATTTATCTGGATTTCCGTGCCCTAAGTTTGATTTAGCTATACTAAAGGCGCCAGTAGACCTAAAGGTTTCTGGCTGCAAAGATTTTCGGAACTCTGACCTGGGATATTTGAAAGTTTCCTTACTGCAGAGTCAGGCCTTGAACAGGCAGCTGGCATTTTCCTTGAGGAAGTCTGGGTTCTCTGTAGGAGGTCGCCTTCCCTGGAGCCCTGGGTGACGGTTTTTCCTTCTGGTCAAGGGGTAATACACAGAGAATAAGCTCGGGTGAAGCCGTAGCACATGGGAAAGCCTGCGGCTTGGAACTCGGGAGAGAAAGAGGAGGAGCCAAACAGCGGGGCACAGGACGCCTGAACAAACCTTGTAGGCGATCTGAGAAGTCCCAGCTCTCGTCTGGCCGGTTAGCTCAGTTGGTTAGAGCGTGGTGCTAATAACGCCAAGGTCGCGGGTTCGATCCCCGTACGGGCCAGAGGTACTCTTTTTACAAGAAACTTGAAAATGAAAGCGACTACCTATCTCAACTCTGAAAGTTGTCTAGCCTCCTCCTGCGCCTTGTCGCCGGCCGCAGAAGTCCCTTGCACGCTCTTTAGGACATCATAGGTTAAGCATTCAAATAATCTGCGGTCTTAAACGCTGCTCCTGTCATCCCGGACTTTTTCCAAGGTTCCAGCTCCGCTGGCGACGCCGGTTTACCTCAGTGTTTTTGGAGTTCATGCTGAAAATGCAAGTCAGGACAACGCATTCAGCAGGTATTTCCCGCAAGCTGAGCGGTCTGGGCAGGGCCAGCCAAGGAACGCTGCGGGGTTTGCAGAGATTGACCATAGATCTAGAAACCTTCGCCTGACTCTGCCTCCCTCCTGTCAAAGATTTCCAGCCACCCACTTCTTCCTCTTGGTTCTGAATTTGGAGGCAGAGAACACATTTCTCACGGAATGCTCAAGTCTCTGGGCCGGTCAGCGCTGTTTAGTTTAACAAACAAACAAACAACAACAACAACAACAAAAACCTCTTAGCTCCTATGTGGGTACAGGGGTTGAATTTTGTTTTCCGTAGCTCAGGCTCACCTTAAACACAAGATCCTCCTGCCCTCACCGCCTGAGAGCTGAGACTACAATATGGACCTCTACACCTGGCTGCCCTACCCCTTTCTCAAATGTAGAAGAACTCCGAATTAGACAGCAGCAGTTGAAGTCTTGGTAAGTGCTTGAGATATAGTAAGAGCTATGGATTCCATACCAGTGAGTAGGACTGTTGTTATTACAGACAAAAATGACGGACTATTGGCATCCGTAATAAGGTGTCTGCACATGCCGTGTCTTGGGTATAAGTTCCTGGTATTGGTTAGACCCAGGGACACAGTAGGGAGTGGAGCTGGGCACAGAGACTAGATCTCGACCTTGCGCCCTCCACCTGACCATTGCTTTCTACCATGGGGGAGGGGCAATGATCCCTCTACTGTAAACTTGGGCCCCTCTAGCTTGTGCCTTGTGGATGTGAAACTGTGGTAACCAAGCCGCGACAACCTTTGTTCGGTTTTCATTTTTAGAGCTAAGGGATGAAGCTGGGCCCTTGCTGGTGTCCGGTGACCTCTAAGAAGCTGTATCCCAGCCCTTTTGACATGACTTTTCTGTAGTAAATATGGAAGAGAAGAGATGGTGAAGGGATTGGCTCTTTTTCTTTTTTAGTTTTATTGATTTATTTAGTTAGTATGTATACTGTGTTCTGCCATCATGTACACCTGCAGGCCAGAAGCGGGCACCAGATCTCATCAAAGATGGCTGTGAGCCACCATGTGGTTGTGGGGAATTGAATTCAGGACCTTTGGAAGAGCAGGCAATGCTCTTAACCACAGAGCCATCTCTCCCTTGACTATTTTAGTCTTTGTGTAGGGAGATAAAGTAGATGTGGAAAACCGTGGTGGCCTTAAGAGGTGGGAATGTGCCCCTTAGGAGCTAGAGGTGCCTTTTGGCCAACTGTATGCTTCCTGTGGGGTCACCCTACTCCCAGAGTTTGTGGACTTCACCCTCAGGGTTTGTTTTCTGGCATCCTACCCCCAGCCTGGCCTCTCAGAGCTGGACGTGGTGGTGGCATACATAGGCACAGCTAGGAAGTGAAGGAAACGCTGGCCACTGCCCTCTTGTGGGGGTGAGGACCTCAGCTCCCTGTCTCCAGGTTTATTTTCTGCTTTCCGTTCCATTGCCTCGGTTTACACGCTGCTCCTCTTCACCCTCACAACGGCTGAGAGTCGTCCTGGGGCGAAGCCTTTCCTCCTGTGTGCAAGCAGTTTGAAGAATTGCATGAGGTGGTGAAGAGAATGTGTCAGGGTTACCTCAGCAGCTCCGCCCCGTGTCCTCAGGAGCCCCTGGAGAGAAACAATGATGAGGTGCCATCTCAAGGGGCAAAGCATTGCTCTTCGTTAGCCGAAGGAAGGAGTCTGTGAACAAGGGAGGGTGTTGCTAGTAAGACATCTTCATAGTTAGCCACTGGGAGGCCTTGTCCTGGCAAGTGAAGTTTTGTTTTATTAATATAAGGGCTATATCCCCTTGTTCCAGAACACTGAAAAGTACAATAGTTCAAAGAAAATTGAGAATACCACAAGGCTCTCTTTTTTTTGTTTTGTTTTGTTTTTCAAGACAGAGTTTTTCTGTGTAGTCCTGGCTGTCCTGGAACTCACTCTGCAGGCTGACCTCAAACTCACTGTCTCTGCCTCTCAAGTGCTGGGATTGAAGGTGTGCACCAATACCAACAGCTTCTTCTTCTTTTTTTTTTTTTAAAAAAAAAAAAACAAACTTCTTATTAGATTTATTTTATTTTTGTCTTATGTGTATGAGTGTTTTACCTACATCTGTGTCTGTGCGGCATGTTTGTACCTCGTACCCAGGGAGTACAGAAGAGAGTGTTGTAGCCATCAAGACTAGAGTTACAGGTAGTTGCTAGCCATCAGGTAGGTGTTGGGAAGGCCCCAGGGCCTCTGCCAGGGCAGCAGGTGCACTTACCTATGCTTTCTCTGTGGGCTGGTTTCCTGTACATTAGAGGGCCAGTGGTTATGTTTGTGGCTATTCTGACACAATTCTTATTTCATCACCCAGCTGCCTTTGGCTAGATTGAGCTCTCTTCAAAACATTAGTTTGGGGCTAATAGGGTTTGGCTTGTTTTGGATAAACTTCTTTTAGAACTCAGCCCTGGCCCACTGTATGTGAAATAAGCCCCCCTCACCAACCCTGACAGACCTGCGCCCGCCCCTGGGTCTGAGTCTTCTTCTTAGAAGATTTAAGTGGTATTTTCTGACTTTCTGGCTCTCACGCTGCTGCCAAGGGTCAACATAGTCTCCTTTATTGAAAACTCAGTTTCACATGTAGCGTGAATGCTTAGAAGGGCAGTATAGAGGCCTGAAGAGATGGCTCAGAAGGAAAGAGCACTTCTTGTTCTTGTAGAGGACTCAGGTTCAATTCCTAGAACTCACATGGTAGGCTCACAAACATTTATAACTCCAGTTCCAGGGGATCCGATACCTTCTTCTGACCTCCACGGGCAACAGGCATGCACATGGTGCATATGTGAGCTAAACACTCATACACTTAAAATAAGTCTTGAAAAGAAAAAAAAAAAGACTGTGTGGCCCCTAGCTGCGTTCCCCCCACCACTCACCTGATGGAGCTGCCTGTCTGCAGTGAGTAGGTGCTGGCATAATATGGTTTCCATGGCGAGCTACCGCAGCCTGTACTGTAATAGGGGGTCTTAGTTACTTTTCTATTGCTGTAATAAAACACTATGATCAAGGCAACTTATTTATTTATTTAAGATTTCTGTCTCTTCCCCACTGCCGCCTCCCCTTTCCCTCCCCCTCCCCCAGTAAACTCCCCCTCCCTCGTCAGCCCAAAGGGCAATCAGGGTTCCCTGCCCTGTGGGAAGTCCAAGGACCACCCACCTCCATCCAGGTCTAGTAAGGTGAGCATCCAAACTGCCTAGGCTCCCACAAAACCAATAGGTACAGTAGGATCAAAAACCATTGCCATTGTTCTTGAGGTCTCAGTAGTCCTCCTTGTCCGCTATGTTCAGCGAGACCGGTTTTAACCCAGGCTTTTTCAAGGCAACTTATTTTAAAGAAAGCATTTGGCCGGGTGGTGGTGGCACATTCCTTTAATCCCAGCACTCAGGAGGCAGAGGCCTGTAGATCTCTTTGAGTTACAGGACAGCCAGGGCTACACAGAGAAACCTTGTCTTAAAAAGCAAAATAATAGCAGGGCGGTGGTAGCTCACTCCTTTAATCCCAGCACTCAGGAGGCAGAGGCCTGTAGATCTCTTTGAGTTACAGGACAGCCAGGGCTACACAGAGAAACCTTGTCTTAAAAAGCAAAATAATAGCAGGGCGGTGGTAGCTCACTCCTTTAATCCCAGCACTCAGGAGGCAGAGGCCTGTAGATCTCTTTGAGTTACAGGACAGCCAGGGCTACACAGAGAAACCTTGTCTTAAAAAGCAAAATAATAGCAGGGCGGTGGTAGCTCACTCCTTTAATCCCAGCACTCAGGAGGCAAAGGCAGGAGGATCTCTGTGAGTTTGAGGATAGCCTGGTCTACAAGAGATAGTTCCAGGACAGGCCCCAAAGCTTCAGGGAAACCCTGTCTCGAAAAACCAAAAAAAAAAAAAAAAAGCAAAACAATAAAACAATAAAAATAAATATATAAAAAGGAAAAAAAAGACATTTAACCATTTAATTGGCTTGTGGTTTCAGAAAGTAGAGGCCACGATGGTGGAGCAAAGGCACGGCAACAGAAATGCCTGAGAGGCTCACATCTTGATCTGCAGCAAGAGGCAGAGAGGACACTGAGAAGGGCATGAGCTTTTCAAATTTCAAGCCCATCCCCAATGACAGAGCTCCTCCAACAAGACCACACCCCCTAGTCCTTCTCAGACTGTTCTAGCAACAGGAACTAAGCAGTCAAATGTGAGCCCATGGAGCATTCTCATTCAGACCACAACAGTTGGTATGTGCTGGTTTGAGGTTTTTTGGTGGTTGGGGGAGCTGTCATTGGTCACCATTGTTAGTCTGGAATTTTTTATGTAGAGAAGGATGACCTTGGACGCTTAAAAAATATTTTTATGTATGGGTGTTCTGTCTAAACAAATTAGGGTTTTGATTGAGATGATAGCCCTATGACCAACACTTGGGAGAAAGAAGTTTATTTCAGCTTAGAGCTGACATCCCACCTCTGAGGAAAGTCAGACCAGGAAACTAGAGGTAGGAACTGAAGCAGAGGCTATGAAGGGGTGTTGCTTACTGGCTCGCTACCCATCAATTGCTCAGCCTGTTTTCTTTTTTTAATTAAATTTATTATTTTTTTAAGAAAACAAACTATCTTTTTCCATTTTACATACCAATCCCAGTTCTACTCCCTCCCCTCCACCTACTCCTCTATCCCACCTCCCCATCCTTTCCCAGAGAGGCTAAGGCACATTGCTTTTGGGAAGGTCCAAGGCCCTCCCTACTATATCTAGGCTGAACAAGGTGTCCACTGTTGTCTGAGGTTTTCTGTCCTGCCTGGTTCCAGCAATCGTTAAGTCCCAAAGAAATCACACAGATGTCTACATTAGTTAAAAACTGATTGGCTAGTAGCCAAGCAGGAAGTATAGGCAGGACAACCAGACAGGAAATAGAGGTGGGTCAATGAGAACAGGAGAATTCTGGGAAGAGGAAAGACCATTCCTTTCTGCAGTCCTAGCCCAGCCATGAAGGCGTAAGTCACGAACAAGGCCACACCAGTTTGGAGTTATGATTAATAGGGTGTTATTTATTTAAAGGGGAAAACTTACAGATCACTGTCCCAGACAACAGCCATCTGCACAACCAGGAAGGGAGTCTAGTCTCCGGCGGAGCAGGAAGTGAAGAGAGCGAGCAGAGGAAA